TGAAACTCATCAGACTGAAGAAGTCTCTTGGAGGAGAGACGAAACATTTCACTAAAGAAGAACCCGTCCAGAGGACCTACTTATTTTTTCTTTTTGATATCAATGTCTGTGTGACAGCTGTAGCTAAGTTGTATAAATAAGTTACAACTGGCAAAGATTTCCGTGGAAGTAAGGCCTCATGTAGGTCTCTCTTACAAGCAAAAAAATTAAAAATACATTCTTAAACACACAAGAGAATCAAAACAGTGCTAATAAAAAGAAATACAAAAACAACCCGTGTGTACTTTCATAAATAGGGTCAATTTGAAGTTTTTCTTAAAAATATGTCCAGTTGGGGCTTCTTTCAGGTAAGGCAGTGTTTCATTTCACTGGAGTAGAAATACAGAAAGCAGRTTGTCCTGGTTTATAAGACCCAGTAGCTCTGCAGGTGTAATGTCTTTTTTTAAAGGAAATGGAAAGAAGTCCATTATACAATGGGGACAGAAGGCATTTAAAGCTTTAAATWAAAGAAATGTGATTTTAAAGCCAGTACAGAGACCAAGTGTAAAATTCAGCAGTATTTTGAATCAGCTGTAATCTGTGAACAGCCCTTTTCTGTAAAAAGGCTCTTTCAACAGCTGGGTATGCTGACTGGAACTGCCTGTGAAAAGACCAAACATAAAAAAAGTCAGCAGATTGCATCAAATGTTTACACTAATCCTATTTTATAAATGTGTAAATTAATTGTCCTTATTGGATTTTGACACTAACACAGTTTTCAAAATGTTTCTCAAGTGACAATAGGCCATCATTCCACCAAGGTTTTACTTCATGCCCTCTGGAACAGAGAGCTGAGATGAAATGCAACTTTCTTGTTGCACTGAATGCTAATAGTCCTGTTCTGTCATTGCTTAGCTTTTAATTTAAATATTGTGTAAGAGAATGTAATGATTAATATTAGCTTTAATTTACCTTYTCACAACCAGTGTCCATTTCAGTTTAATTTCATTATTTACAACTGAACCTCAGCTTTATGATGATCCAGTGGCATTGGCTTTCTATAACCTACAGTATCAATCAACACAATCAATCAGTCTAACAGCTTYTGTGTAAAATCTTCCCTGGATTCCACTAAAAATAGGAGTTTTTTTAACATCAGCCCACACGCTTCTCCAAACTGCAGAGGTTTGTCAAATGGTGCCATGTTTTAGGATTTTTGTGCTGATAAGGCGAATATGGAGGAAAGGGTGTGGAAACTAGGAAGCAGATAAGGAGGCAGGGGGGGCGCGCTTGTGACAGTTTTCTTAAAAGTTTGTTTTTAGAGTAGGTTCTCTGTTTGCTCATGGGATTAGAGAGTTTGGAAAAGATGGAGATTTAGAGTCAGAGCAGGGAACATGTCTGCTGAGACACTTGCATCATGCAGATGACCAATCTGTAATCCATTAGTGAAAGAAACAGAGGGATTGTATAAATGATGGTTTTTATAGCCACTCTTAACATTACTGAAACATAAACTGCATTTGTTTGATGTCATGATTTTCATTTTGGATTTTTTAATATAATAGTTTTTAAATATAGTTTTTAAATATAATAGAAATTCACTCATCAGGGGTATAAATGACTTTTTTTAATAAAGATTTTTCTATGGGAGGAATGATTCCACGTCATAGGTACCTCTTCAATGATTCTTAACAACTGAAGTTTACAGTTAAAGTCGATTTCCTCCAATCTAATAATACACACATGTATTTACCTAAACCTTGTAATTCCACAAMACCAAGAGCACAACGTCCGTTTAATTCAGTTTATTTATATAGCACCAAATCACAGCAGAAGGCATCTCAGGGCACRGTACAAAAACATTCACACGCATTATAAAATGCCAATTAGTAAATGTTATCTTTCCAAGAAGGCCAGCAGATTGTGTCACATTTTCTCTTCATCTCCCATAATCAGACATAATCTAACTTCTCATTAGAGATTATGGCTGACTGCGGGTGGTAGGTTTCTTCTTTTTCCTTTTTTTGAATGTAAAAGATTTGTTTGATTGCACTCATTGGATTGTACAGTGCTTATAACAGTGGGAAAATACAAGGAATACAGTAAAGATCCAAGAAAGAAAATATGTAATTTCAAAGAATTGCAGATCAGTGTAAGTCAGTGATTGGTGCGTGTGCCCCTTGGGTGCACTAGCTTATTACAAGGGGTGCATGGAAAAATTTCCCAGGTGTGCAAAAAAAATTAATAAAAATAGGACTGGAATGATTTCTACAAAGCAGAAAATGCAGACGGAATCACGTAAAGTTGACAAAACAAAATGGAATCCAGTATAAAATGCGGAATCTCACGGAATTTGCTCATTTGAGCAAATTTCTGATGTATTTTGGATGCTGCTGCTTCCGGTACCTGCCATTACCTGGTTTATTTAATTACTTATTCACTTTCAAGGCACCGTTTTAATCTTTATTTAATTTGAGCTGAAAAGAATAAAATGCCTGAGAATCAAATGTTCTACGGAGTTAAATAAATAAATTTCATTTAATAATCAGTTGTTGGACATTATAGTTTTGGAGAATCATCATTACGTTTGACAGAGGGAGTACTAGTGGTATGACAAAATGGCTCAGGGGGTACACAAGTCTAAAATGGTTGGGAACCACTGGTATAAGATATTTTGAAGTGTCACCACTTTACTGGAAG